GGATCGAACGCCGTGTCGTGCGGCGCGGTGGGGTGGGGTGAGGTGAGGTGGGGTGGCGGGGTGGGGTGGGGCGGAGCGCCACCGATTCGCATGGCAACCTGCTGCTGGGCTGCTCTGGGCGCTGCAGGACGATGTGCTCGGCGGATATTCCGCTCGACTGCACGCAGGGCCAGGGTGCGGTACGTATTTTCAAGTTCAAGGCGCACCGAACTGCACCTTTGCACAGCTCACTGCACACACTCCACATCGATAGTACGCTACGCTAAGTTCCCAGGCTCAAATGGTAATCTTTCAAGTAGCTGGGGTCTCTCGCCGGACAGACTACATCCGCGAGCGGCTTCTATAGGCTGCACTGCCCTGAAACGGATTCAGCACCGGCTCGGATATGGAACAATCAGCTCGGCACGAAATGGATAGAACGGCACCAGTTCAGCTCCAGATTGCTAGATAAATGCCGGGAAATGTAACCTGATTTTACCTGATGTATGGTAAAATTCGGCCGAGAATTCGACTGATCTGTGAATACGGTTGCAGCGGTGATAAAAAATAATTGGCCAAACCATATTTTTGGCGTGCACGACTCATGAATTAGTTCGACCTTCACTCATTTGCTGGGAGGCTGCAACATTGGCGGCGCGGGGAAACTGATGACCGCGGAAGGGGAACGCCGCGAGGAGGCAAGCGGACGCGCCTTTTGCAAAAGGCAAACGCAAAATAATCGGAATGTAATTTGGCGTCACTCAAATGCCGCCGCCGCTGCTGCCGCCGCGTCACTCTGCGCAAGCGGGTTCGGTCTTTAGTTCCGCGAAGCGGCCGAGGACACGGCGGCGACCAGCGAGCCGCGGTTACACTAGGGTGGACGTGTGAATTTTCAAAGCGGGGCAATTAACTATCAACATGTTTTCTAAAAATTGTGATGCACAAAATTTGAATAAGCAAACAACAATCATAAAAAAAAATCAATCTAATTTTTCCAATTTAAAATTTCAGAATGCCATGGTTTGTGTTTGAAATTAGGGAGGAACAGTGGGGGTTAACACACCACTCTTCTCTCAGATCAGGTCAAATAAATAAAAAGAAAGGTGTACTGCGTATTGTACCCGCAGCGTACCACCGCGCGCCGTCATGCATTGTTCGGCCCGTCAACCCGTCGCCGCCACGCCGCTGCCCATCGAGTGATCGATTAGCACGATCGATCCGCGTCGGCCGACGAGACAGGTGCCCTAATAGGCGCTGACGAACGCGACCCGCGCGAAAGTTTAAAGCCAGGCGGCAAAGTAGAAGAGGGCGCGCGTGCGGGAGCGCCCGCCTACTCTGTGCAAGTATATAGCATTCAGGCGCAATTTCAGGTGTAATTTCGAACGAAAAGAAGGCGAGGAAGTGGAGGCGAAGAGAGGAAGCTGCGCGAAAGGTAAAGGTAAAGGGGACAGAGCGAGACGCCAAAGACACACCAAAAAAAAAAAGGAAGAGACAGCGATCGGAAGGGCAGCCGTGTTAGTCACGATTATGTTGTCGCCGAGTCGCGCGATGGGTATCTGGCCACACGGGGAAGGCGTTGCGGGAGAAGGCAGCGTAGGCCGCGCGGGTCTCTGGGGAGGGAGCCGGCGCGACCAGAACTATCTGAACACCGCGGACGCGCCAAAGAGCGCCGCCGCGCAGGAGGCCGGTCATTGTCGACTAAAAGCTTTGGGTTCCGTTTTAGGGCAGGGGGGGATTCGGATCCAAAAGAAACAGATAAATCCCCCGAGTTTGACCGTTCAGCCGCGGTGGGGCGCACATGTGCAACGGAGAAAGCCTCCATTCAAATATTCCCGCGCGCGGAACTCTCACACACACGACGCACGATCGCGCGCACACACGCGCTCACAGCGACACGCACCGTTGGTATGATTAGTTTGGGGCCGCGCGCGGTGCTCTACAGTCCGACCGGCCGCGACACGCGCGTGGCGGGGCGGGGCGAGCTGCAAAGGGTTCTCGAGGCCACTCAAATACACGAAAACTTTCATCCTCGGTGGTCATTGTATGCTAATGTCCGAAGGTGAGGAAGGGGGGGGGGGCGGACACGCGGCGGCAGCGGCGTCGCGACGGACGCATCTTGTTGCCTCGCGGTGGGGTGGGGTGGGGCGTGGTGGGGCGTGGTGGGGCGGGGCTGGCGCCGGCGTTGCCGCCCCCACGTGGGTCCGTGCGTCGAGGTCACTCGAGGTGCAGGGGGAAAAGAAGGGCGGGGTGTACCATCGCACCACCCTGCCCAGCAACTCGAACCAACGTATGGCCAAAATGCAATCAGTGCAAGCAGTGACACAGAGCTTTCAAGTAACCGTATTTCGCGGAATACACCAATTGGAAATGTCGAAATGTCACAGTAGCAGGAAGATCTTATCTCCCACCACCACAACCAGACGAACGATTGGGTCCTCCCCTGGATGGCCTTTCTCGAATTCTGCGTGCGCCCAGACCTTCCCCCTCCCCTACGCCAACAGCCAGCCCCATCCTTCCATTCTCGCACGGAGAAAGTCGCAATTCCATAGTCGTGTTGACACTGGTAAGGCCCGGCGAGGCGTCGCTTCGCTACCGAGCTCTAAATCAACCGCACTCAGATTTTCAATTTTCAGAGTGCGGTTTTAGTTTTACGAAACCGGCGCGAGAGGCGTGGAGAAGGGGATGGTGCGGCTACAGGAGGGCCAGAGAAAATTACGCACTCAGAAAATGGTTTCTTTGACTTTTGAATCAAGGAATTTCATTTTAAGAAAACTGAGCATACCATATCAATGAGAATTTTTAATACAAATTAATCACTCTGGTCTGCATTCAATGTCAAAAAATCAAAGCAGTTTCCGTTAAAAATTTCCTTTGAAACGACAGAATCAACTTATTTCCAATGAAATTTCCTTGAACCATAGAAGCCATTTTCTGACCGAGCAATGTTCGTTCTGTATTCAATATAGGCACCTCTTTATCCTCTAAATGAGTGTTCACAATAATTGCAATCAGGCCCACCAGAATGAATGCCCCGTTCCCGTTCCCCTACACGCAGTAGTGAGGGTCCACCGGACCACCTCCCGCTTGTCCTCCTCCACCTTCCTCTCTTTCTCCCCAACCCCCACCCCGCCCGCACGCCCCTCGGGCCAGTATCTCACAGATAAATTTGTCCCCGCGCGGCTCGCATTGTTGTGCGGCTGCCTGGTCGGCGTGGTCCTCTAAATGAGATGTAAACAATGCCGCGCCCAAAATTGTGTAACGCGTGTTGGCTGCAGGGGCTCCCGCACTTGGGCCCCTCTGTCCAGCCTCAGGGCGCCTCAGGGCCGGGGGCGGGGCGAGCCGCGGACTGTGTGAACGGGGGGCGGGCCGGACCGAGACGGGCGGGCACAACCGACACCTATGCTGCAAACACATGCACTCTAAATGTCTAAGGACAGTTAATGTAACGAGCACCGGACTTCTCTGTGTCCGTAACTGAGTTCAGATACAAGATTTGTAATGTGTTTGGTTAGTTACAATAATGTATCTATCTAATTTCAGTTATGCACGTACAGAAGTCTGGTGCAACACATTTACAGTGTGGACCCGCACCCTCACAGTCGCGGTCGCGGTATCGTCAAAACAAGGATAGCAACAAAACGCGATCGTCTTCGGAACAGATAATTATCACATTGCTATATACATTGAAACACAAAAATAAATAAACCAGTCCGGCAAGGCTAAAATGCATAAGAATGAAGGACACAAGAAAACGGAAGTCACAATGTTCAAGCATAACGATTTCCGTTTTCTTCTGCATTTCTGCTTTGCCGGAATGCTTTATTAGCCCATAGGGCGCGAAGAAATATTCAGTCCCCACGAGCGGCCAGAAAGCTCCCGCCTACGTTTTTTCGTACAACTCAGGAACTCAAGCTCAAGTAGCTGCCACAGTCAAAGCCGAAAAAAATGCGTCACTAGCCGGAAAGAGAGAACTACTGTGTGCCACTATTGTTGCTGTTCAAATCAGTGAAGTTTGACGAGGATATCGCTTTGTCGTTAAAGACGCACTGAGTTCTTCTTATTGAAGGTTGATTCTGGCAACATCTATGTACTCATCCCGCCGTCGTGCCCCCCACCCCCTCCGATGTGCGATCGCCGCGGCGCGGACCTCCGCCACACCTTGCTGCCCGCCCCGCCCGGTTAGGCCCCCGCCGGCCTGCCGCCGGGGGCCCGCCGCATAATAGGAGCAGCAGCTTCGTGGGAATATTAAGTAACGCGAACAACGGGCCCCGCTTTTCAGCGGGGAGCCGCCGCCACGCCGCGCCATCTCGCGGAATCACTTGTGCCCGTCCTTGTCTGTCTCCCCCTGCCCGGGTCCGGCCGTCCGGTCCGGCCGAGCGTCGTGTTTGCATTATTACTGTCTCTGCGCCCGCCGGCGCCCGCCCACCCGCAGACTCTTTCGCAGTATAGCAAGGGTTGGGGTTGGTGGCCGGTTCATGAGCTCAACCTTGTGGTATCTCCTTATCTTCGTGACCCTCAAACGCGATATCCCTTATCAAGAGGGGGAGAAGGACGGCCGCTCACTTCCCTACCTCCCTAATACACGCATTGTGCATCGTGCAAGGGAAATTGATAAACTAACCACCGATGAAAATGTAGTGAAATTAACCCGATCCTTGATGTATGGTTGTGGTCCGCGTTTTTCAAGGGCCAACAATCAGTCCGCACTAAACTGCAACCTAATTCCTAATACACTTCAAGGATCGTTCTAGGCAGCGATACGAGACGAGCCAATCTCTGCCACACCTGGCACTTGAGTTTAATTGACAGATTCAAATATGTTTGTTCTATATAGATAGTAGAAAGAGCAAAACACTTAAGGCATCCACAATAGGGCCACGCAGAGAGGGCGTGCAACGAAGCAGTCGCACAGGACGGAGAGAGGGAGAGAGAAAGAGAGAGAGAGCGAGAGAGCGTGCCGCGCAGGCGGGGAGCGCCGTGCGGTAGGCAACTCACTAACAGTCGTGTCGTATGTGTTGCAGCTCGCCGCGCGGCAGGCGCCGCAGCCGAGCCATGAGGGAGCGAGGCGTGCTGGTCAGCGCACTGGTAAGTACAACCAAAGTATTTTATTTCAACGCTCATGCACTTAGATTCTCATTTACCGAGCACAATTTTACCGTGTAGACCTTTTTCCTCCTCGTGGTATCATCAGGGTCGTAGTAACAGAGGCGAATCGAGGATAACACTTGCCACGCCCGAGATTGAGGTTCAATACGGCGCCGCGGGCTTGCTTTTCACTGTATCTTATCTCCACCACATTGTGGGGCCGTATCGGCGGATTTTTTTTAAGGCCCTCATTACATGATTTAGGATTTTTCCTGTCTGCTTGACGCATACAGTTGGAGACAGAGACTTGAATACCAATCGTATCTTTTCCTGTTGCATTCGCTGTCGAACTGGACTTTAACCTTTGTCAAAGTGTTACAGTTATACGCGATCACCTAGTTATGTCCCCGCCCAAAACGTGGTGTTCTACACTCTTAATGTTGAGAAACAATTTTGTCCCCAAACACTGTGAAAATTTGTCGTACCGGGTACAGGAAAATTTTCCATGAAAGAAGTCGTACAAGTACAATCTAAAATTGTACAATTTACTAGCCCTATGAATCGACTTGGAATCGAACATCGAGCGACAGTGGGAGGTTGTACATGTACGACTCGTATTGTAAATGGCATTACAAAATATATCGTACATGTACAAATATATTTCTCACAGTGAAACTGGCCAAATTGTGTCAAACGATAACGATGCACACACTAAATCCTTATGCATTCTGTTGTGCACAAGACTTGCAGGATTTCATGCAGCCAACAGCCATAGATAGCTATGCACAGTTTTACATGCATAAGTATGCAAAACTAAGGCCACTATGCACAAATTTGTGCGTAGTAATGCTGAAGTTTTACATAGTTATGCACGAAATTTGGTGCATAACTATGGCTGCTCACAGCTGTACATGTACAACAAAGTACATAACGGTCTAGTGTAAAAGTACCAGGTGGCTGATTCACGCCGTGTACTTCTGTAGTTATGCTGTACCGCATGCACGAGTGCGGTCGGGTTTGCCTATCGCGCCTGTCCACGGCCGAGCGAGTAGGCAACCCGCCCGACTCGTGCATGCGGTACAGCATAACCACAGAAGTGCACGGCGTGAATCACCCACCTGGTATGTCCAGGTGTCAGAATAAAACGCCATCCTGCCTTGACGTGCTGAAAAACGTTGCTACGAAATTTCCGTTCGACGTAGTTTGAGGATTATGATAAGTTCCAATCGAAACGAGGTGACACCGCTTTTGAGTGGGTAAAGTCGTCCGCATCGGCGGCGTCGTGCGTCACGCCACACGTCAATGTGCTAATCCGTGCTGTTACCGGTTAAATTAAATAATCCCGGAGGAGGGGGGGGGGGAGAGAGAGAGAGAGAGCGAGAGAGAGAGAGAGAGAGAGAGGGGGGGGGGGCGCAGAGGGAAGTAGGGCACTCCAGCTACCGAAGAGACAGGGTGTACTTTTTATTTTCCCTTTTTCGATTCACATTTGAAATCACTTTGACTTAAATGGTCAAATGACGCGCCGAAACGTCATGAATATGTTTTATAATTACGTGCACTGTAAAAAACAATGAATGTCTAATTTTATAAGGAAAAGAAATAAGTGAGGGATATTCCTACATTTGTTGAGGAGACTCATCAAAACCTGAGGAGTTTGCTCCAAATTGTGGGAGCTCCTGAAAATTTTCCAATTTTTCTCATAAAATTATACATTCCTTTTACCCTGTACTTGGCCTGCTTCCTGGCCAGCCGTTCCTCAATTCTGTGTTTATTCTACACTTTCACCTACAGTATACCTGTCGAGTTTAGAGTACCCTACTGACATTAAAATAATAAATATTTTGTGAGAAAAAGGAGCAATTTACCACCGGAAACGGCGCACCAATTAAGTCAAGTCACTAAGTTGTGTGTTTTCTGCCCAAACCAGGTGTGCGCTGGCTGCATCAGCGCCGTGCTCGGACAGGCCCTGTTCGTCAGAGAGGAGTCCCTAGCACAGGTCAGAGATACCCGCAGCGCCGGGTCTCAGACGGCAAACTACAACAATAATAATAACTTCAACAATTTTAACAACAACAACAATAACAACAACAACTACAGTAACAACTTCGGTGGCCGATCAAGCCGGTCGGGCTCAAGACGTGCCCCGCAACGGCGGGTACCCCAGCCCGAGGACCAGCAGCACCAACAGCAGCACCAACAGCAGCACCAACAGCAGCACCAACAGCAGCACCAACCGCAGCACCAACAGCAGCACCAACAGCAGCACCATCAGCCGCACCAACCAGCAGACTGACAGGTACGTCCACCATGACGCACTACATGCACGCACTACAAGTTAAGACATCGTTGCAGAATCCTCTAAACGTACCGAAATCGCCTTCCTCACAGGTCAAACGCTGCGCCATGGGATCAGGGCCAGCACCGAAGGAGGCCCGTCCACGATGCAGACGACCAGGAATTCTTCAAGACCTCTGCATCGCAGTACCCACGTCAGCAGTACCAGCAACAATTTAACAACTACAAGACATTCCAGACCCAGAAACCCCAGGCACAGGGTTTCCAGAAGGCGAACAAGGCCCAGGACTTTGACGAAGGCGCCAGCGAACCGTCCGACGGCAACGGGCAGTTTAACACGTTCAACTACAACAGAAATCAGTTCAACAACAACCAACAGTTTAGTGCTAATACAAATCAATTTTCAAACCAGTTTAACTACAACGACAACAATAATAATAATAATAATAATAATAACAACAGAGGCAGTGCCAATCCTAGGGGTAGCTCTCATTTCAGTAGCGACAACCGAAACATTAACAACAATAACAACTTTGGAGACACTAGCCGGAATCAAAATCAGGTTAGGCAAGGGCGACAGTTCCAAAACGGTTCTAGTCAAAAATCGCAGCATCAGGCGGCAGTCAGGCAGGACCAGAATCAGTCCAACAACTTTAACAACGGCAACAATAACTATAACACCAATTTTAACAACAACAATTACGGTCAACAACAGCAACCCCAACAACAGCAGCGACAAAACGTGCGCAGTAGGCAGCAGGGTGAATTGTTCAACAGCCTCGGCACCAGCTTTAACAATAGGGCACGAAACAACAACGACGAAGGCAACGACATCCAGCGCGTCGTCAACACCAACAACTTCAACGCCTTCCCAGCGACTGGCGCTGGCAACACCGCCCAGCAAAGGATACAATTCAACAACAACTTTCAGCAATTGCCACAGCGCCAGCCTCAGCCTATCCAGCAGCAGCACCAGCGTCTGCCCCAGGCTTCCCTGCCGCCGGCCGATGTGTCCAAGGACCCGCAGATCCCCAACAGTAAGACCAATAAAGCCGCGCTGAGCGGTCGCCCGCAGCAAAGCTCATATGGGGGCAATGTCGTGGTACAGGCAACCCCTGCAAACGAACGAACGACCAAACAGGCAAAGTAAAGATCCACTGGGGAGAAGAGAGGAAACTACCATCCTCTGCTTGTTTCAGACCGTGCAGCTCGTGTGCCCTCGCAGCCGCAGAGCACCGTGAACATCGACCACACCGTGCAGTCTATCCTGAACTGGATCCAGGGCATGTCCCGAACTCAGGAGCGCCGAGGTGAGGAAAACTTTCGCGCGTGTCTGTACCTAATTGCAGCAGAACGCAAATTTTACGTGCAGAATTTCAATAATTGCAATAACTTCCCGTGTTTTTAAGCCCCTTTCTAGTAACCTTAATACTCTCACCTGGACACTATAAAAAATATAGGAAAGGTGAAACCGACGCCATCACAATATAGTTTTCACTGGAATGGCTGCCCGCCCAGTCGTTGATAGCGCCCGATGGTTAGGCAACCAATCCGGCATATATTTTCATTATACCGTGGCGCGGGTCGGCTTGCCTTCGGTCACTGTTATTCACAGAGGCACCTTAGGCGTCATCCAGAAAGTACGCCCGATTTCCTCAGATTTATTTAGTAAATTACAGAAGCTCGGCGCCTGCGAGACTCGAGGCAGGCCTCCGCGCGGTGCATGCATGCACCGAAGGTAAGGTGTTGCCTACCCGTGCCTTCCGACCAGGCGCTATGAAGGCTTGCATGGGCTGAACTTGGCAGTTTTGTATCGGCGAATGACAGACATACTCTCTAGATGACCCCTTTTGGCCCCGTACTGTCCAACCCGCCCGCACGCCAGTATGCGGTAAGGGTAGACTGTTGCTATCCCATGCGTATCCCATCCGAGGATGAAAGGGGTGTGGAACGGGTAGAGGTGATCGAGAACGATCCTTCTCGATGTGGATCTGGGTATTCCCCGGTCTGAGGGTTAACGTGGATTTGTAATATCCGACGCGGCTATCAGTCAAAACAACGGGCGGCGTTCGACGGGCGTTGGGCCTGATAACGAAAAAAAAGGATTGACGCGAGCATCGGCGCTGAGTCACATTAACCAACCCCTCATACTCAAGCTGCTACGGAACGACTAATACCAACATACCTGTATAACTCTCTTTTCTTACTTTAGTGGTATGAGTCACCCCCACGTCACATATTGCCTAATCTCTGTACAGCCTGCACGCGGCCGAGGCAGGGGTTGTTGAGCCCCACGGGCTGTAACGCCCCTGCCCCGTCCCCGCACGAACGCCGCATGAGAGCGGTCACGGACTGGGACACGACCACGCAAAGCGACGCAGAGGCACTACTGGACTCACAATCGGTCAGGTTTTGAGAAATGGCGTTGGACAGGACCCGGCCAGCAGGATTTGGGCGCCGTCGCGTTATTTCTCATATACGGGGCGCCGTTCTCTCTTCCGGTTAGGGTGTACCGGATGCAGGCCTGCATCCGGTGGTACAGTGTAACCTCAAGACAGAACGGCGCCAGTGGGTGATGGGCCACCCCACCCCCTCCTGTACTCAGCACGCCAGTTTGGTCTGAAAAGGCCCCTTCTCGTTCCCGTCCTGAAAATCGACTTCGCAGGAACGGGATACCCAAAGAGTGTCATACAAGCACGCAAAAGTCTTAACGTCCTTCCAATAAGAATTAAAAATTATATATGTTTATTTACCCCATGCGAGCAGCTGTATGGTCCACGGACGACGCGAAGCATGTGTGCTCTTTGGGTAGAGAGAGAGGGGGCCACCGCCACCCGGGTGGAGAGTGGTATGGGTTTTGGTGAGCAAACGTCCGAGTAGCCGCAGCACTAAACCCGTGTGGCATGCACCCTTCCAGCCCGCCAGCAAGGCGTCGGCCAGCCCTCCCGGCAGTACCTCCCGGCCCCGGAGGGCACCCAGCGGCCCCGACCCTTCCAGCCCCCCAGCAGCCCGACGACGGAACCTGGTATGACACAGCGCTGCCCCGGCCAGGCCACCCCCGCCTGTGGACCAGGCCGCCCCCGCCTACGGCTCAGGCCGCCCCGCCTACGGCTAAGGCCGCCAAAGCCCTTCTGCCTTGCGTAGTCCTGCCCTGTACATATGCTCTATCTGATCGCTTACGGCGTTGGTACCAGTTAATCTCCGAAAACGACGGAAGGGCGCGCCAAATGCATGTGCATGCCTTCTCTAGATAAAGCCCGTTTAGTGGCCACCCCAGTAACCTTCGGTCGCAGGTCGCGAGTGCGTCAGCGCGTCAGCGGCCTACGTCCGAGTGGTGGGCAAGGCGGCTGGGCGCGACGGGCGCGCCGCGTCTGCACTCTCTGCTTAGATTAGATTACTGTAGTGGCGGACGAGGATTATCGAAAAAATCCAACTCTACCGGCGAAAAAAATATATCTATGTTGGGTGTAGGACACCTTGCCTCCTGCCCCTTCCCAATTGCTGTGTAAATACCAGAGCTAGATGCTTTCGGAGAGTTTCTTTCTGCACCGTGTGTTGGTCTTCCCTGCTCCGCCAGCTCGCCAGCAGGTGACGCCGCCCTCCAGGCAGTACCTGCCCGTGCCCGAGGGGCCGGCTGGACCGTCCACCGAGGCCCCGCGCCCCTTCGAGACGCCTGTTCCCGAGCTGCCCACCACCGGCCCCGCGGAAACACCGGGCCCCGAACCGGGCCCTGCCCCAGGCCCCGGCCCCGCGCCTGAGCCGGCCCCGGGTCCAGCGCCAGCTCCCGGCCCGGAGCCCATCCCCTTCCCCATCCCGGAGACCCCTGCGCCTGCCGCTGAGACGCCGGCGCCGCCCGCCCCCACGGAGCCGGCCCCGGCGCCCGGCCCCGCCCCAACTGAAGCGCCGCTGACCGAGGCGCCCCAGACCCCGGCGCCCACCGAGGCACCCACGCCCGCGGCGCCCCAGGTAAGCGACGCCTCATTTCCCGTTGGCCTTCGCCGTGCCGCACACTCGGCGGCCCACTTGAACGTTGACTGTTAACAGGAGACATTCGCGCCCGAAACACCTGCTCCCGAGGTGATAACGGAGGCCCCCGCCACGCCGGCGCCAGAGTACCCCACCGAGGCACCCACCCCGGCCCCTGTCCCGGAGGCGCCCGTCACCGCCCCCGAGGCCGCGGACACGCCCGCGCCCACCGAGGCGCCCGCCGCCCCCACATCCGCCCCGGACGTCCCCACCGGCCCGGCGCCGGAGGCACCCGCCCCGGAGGCGCCGACCCCTGAGCAGGACAACGGCCTTCACCCGCCCCACATCCACGCCATTGACGTGCAGTGCGCCAAGGACATGATGACCATCACCATCGAGTTCGACAAGCCGTACGACGGCATCATCTACTCCAAGGTGCAGGAAACGCTTAAAGCCTGGCGCAGCGTGCGCGCATTATGGGACAAACTCAAAAACCACCCCATTTTGATCGTTTCAGGGATACTTCAAGGACCCCAACTGCCGATACGTGCAGCCCAACTCGAACCAGATCAAGTACACCTTCACCGTCATGCTCAACTCGTGCGGCACGCAGTTCGTGGACGACTTCCAGGGCGCGGGCCAGGCGTACCTCGAGAACGTGATCGTGCTGCAGAACGAGGAGGGCATCCAGGAGGTTTGGGACTCCATCCGGAGCGTGCGGTGCTTGTGGGAGGGCAACCTCAAGCAGGCCCTCACCGTGGCGCTCAGCGTGGGCAACCTCAACCAGGAGATCGTCACCTTCGGCGGCGACACGGGCATGGCCAAGCTCGACATTCAGGTGCGGGACGCCCGGCAGCTGCCCAGCTATCCCATACTATTTTGTTTCAAAAATTGTACTTAACAACTACTCTCCACCATCGGCTACAGGTGGGCCGCGGACCCTTCGCCCCGACCGCCAACGGACTGGTCAAGATCGGCGAGGTGATGACGCTCGTCGTGTCGGTCGAGGGCGACCCCGGCTTCGACGTGCAGGTGCGCGCCTGCGTCGCCCGGGACGCGGACTCCTCCAACGTGGTGCAGCTCACGGACGACAACGGCTGCGTCCTCAAGCCCAAGCTCATCGGCGCCTTCCAGAAGACCAAGGACACGGGCAACACGGGCGCCTCCATCATCGCGTACGCCTTCTTCCAGGTCAGTTCCGCGTGCCCCTGAGCGAGGCTTCTTGTCCGCAAGCGACGACTCACTCATGCCCGCTGGATCGGACTTTGTGCGCCCGTATCGCTGCGGCAATGCGCCGGCACGCGGCCGCTTGCGCAGCTGGGCCGCCGCCGCGGCGACCGCGCGCTGGTGAATCAGCGTCCCGCCCCCTCCCCCTGAAGGGGTCGTGCACAAATTACCGTACTTTTAGAGGCAGGGCAACTTTAACTCTGGACCGTAGAATATGAAGAATAAGGCAGGCTGTGAAATGATAAATGTTTTACAGTAGGCAACATTTTACTGGTGGGGCCGCTTTATCATAATGTCTAAGAAGCTCAATTAGAGAGGGTCATGACAAAACTGCACTACAACCCCCAACCAAACAGAAATTTGATAATGACCCCAACCTTAATCGTTTGCAGGCCTTCAAGTTCCCCGACGTCATGGACCTCATCATCGAGTGCAGCGTGGACCTGTGCAAGACGGACTGCGAGATGTGCCCCAACCCTAACCAGGTAACGGAGCTCGGGCAGCGCTCCAAACAGTCGATATACCCCTCAGCCCTCAAATGTTCTCTCCTCTCCACACTCTCTTATCTCTCCCCCCTTCCCACCCATCCTCCCCGAATGCATATAGGGCCAAATCTCCAACACAGTTTACGGTTTTGCGTTAAAAAGTACGACGTTCATATCTTCGAGATGAAAAAAGAATTCTAAAAATACTTGATGATACGTGATATTTTTTTATGGCCGTACTGGCATAGCGCGCTCTTTATCAACTATCACTAATCACTAATTGATCTTGTAGAAACTGGAGCCAGGCGCGAGGCGGCGGCGGCGCGACACGTCCGGCAACGCGACGCAGCTGGAGGGCGAGGGCATGATCGGCGACGACCTGGGCGTCCTCATGGGCCGGAGGCTGAGGGTGTTCACCCCAGACGAGCTCCCCGTCGACGTCCTGCTGGAGGGCAACGCCACCGAGCTGGCGCTGCAGCAGCAGGAGACTTACGGTGACAACGTCATCCTCATGTCCGAGGACTCAAGTGAGTTTGCGCCCCTCAGTGCATGTGTCCCGCACGCTCTGTTCGAATGAGCGGAAATAATTTAAGGACCTCGATCAGCTGCGTCATTTGGCATTGGAGTGCTCTTCGCTTGGGAAGCGCCTAGGCAACTAGAGCTCTCCAACATATTTCTCATCAGATTACAGGCATCTAATCTCGAGGACGAAATGTTTGGCTTCTGTCTCCTAGGGCGGGCGGACGGCGTGTGCATGTCCCTGCCCTCGTTCGCGGCGTCCTCGGCCATCATGCTGTCCCTGCTCACGGCCTCGTGCCTGCTGAGCGCCACCCTCTGGCTCAAGCTGCAGCGGACCAACTTCAGCAAGCGGCCGGTCCACCAGTGATGGGGCCTCGGCCGCCGCCGGGCCGCGGCCACCCCACGGCCTCGGCCCACACCTCGACTGATTAGACGAGCTCAAGGCGCGGCTTCCCGTCTCTGTCCTTAGCATTGTGCCAGCGGGGAAAGAGAAAGAAAAAGTGATATAAGTAGCAGAGATCGATGGAAAAGGCCATCTCTTTCTTTTCTCCAGTTACACTGTGTTGTGTCACAAGCACGTGTGTAAGTCAATTTGAAGTTACCGTTCTGAATCGGATGTTACCACTTGTTGCCAAGACTCTTTCCCGACCGGTTGGAAGCCCCTGTTTCTTCTCTCTACCATTTTTCTTGTAATATAGTTACCTGATAGTTACCCTCGGAGTCAAAATCGAGGATGCAGCGATTGTCTCCCCTTCTGTAATCTTTTCTTTTTCTGTTTTGTTGTGTTATCCGTGTTGTCTTAATTTATTTTGTTATTTTGTCGCGTATTCTGAGGAAAGTTGTTGTTTTTTTGTGCTCCGTGCAGGGCATTGCCATTTTAACAAAAGACCTAAAATACTGTGCCCAACCCTATTTGTGTAAGAAAGGTGAAGTTTACGGGTCATCCAAAAATCCTCCCGTCTTATTTGAACCATACCACTTGATAATTTACGGGTAGTACTGACGTCACCAATTAAACACATTTCCGTGATAAGGCAGAGAATGTTTGATGTAATACGGCAAAATTGTATTCCCGCAACTCTGGGTTTACAGGTTCTTTTTTCGCAGGCAGACCCAATATTTCACCAGTTGTAAATACCAGATTTGAAACGGGCTAAGTTGACTCTGAAGATAAACTGTGGCAGCGGCATCCTGAGTGTAATAGGTTTTGTCTCTTTTCCTATCAGACAGATCGCTGTAGTCGTTCTAATCTAAACTAAGCCTCAAAGGTCACATGAAATTTAAAAGTTGTAAGCGCTGTGTATTCGTGAGTGCATTGATACAACTCTGCACAATGACTTTTCTGAGTACAATCGAAGGGCTTGATAGTTAGAGTGTACATATGTGTGTTAGCGATGTCTAGATGTAATAAACTCAATTTTGTACAATATGTAACACCATTTGTTAAGTTCTAGTCCTCACGTGCTTTGACCCCCCCCCCCCCTCACACACACACTCACACTCACACGCACGTACAACATAAGAGCCGAAGCACTGTCTAACACACGCATATCTCCGCGTCCAGAAGCTGCGAAGAGTTGCGGGTGGTCGGGATGATGGCACGAGTGACTCAAGTTTCAGTTATCTTGCTCGACGCGAACGTGCCGCCGTATAAACTGCTGGCGGGGCACGCACTCGCGGCGCCTTGACGCCAGCGGCAGTTTAGTCAGCGATGGTAGCGCGTTTACCCGCTTCCCGGGGTCAAACTTTGCATAGCATAAATCTTATAAATTAAAAAGAATCACGTTTCGTTCAATACTTAAATTGCTGGGAGAGAGAAGGGAGCCAATCCACAGCGTGAACGTCACCAAAACAGACGCAGCTGGCGGGTTAAGCTTAAGCCCCTTCCTCCGCCCCTCTCCCTTTTTACCAAACCTAATCCTACGACGAGCTAGAACGAATGGGCCGTGAAAACGTCTCCCTGATCGCCGTAAGCCAATGTAGTTTTTGAACGGTCCCCTGAAACTAAAACTTGCATACCAACGCTCGACGTCCACGTCAGAACACCCCCCCCCCCCCTGGAATGTCAGGCCGCGTCGCCACGTTGACATTTCTGAGCCGCCGAAGCGGTACATGAGGACCACGACTGCTGACCTCTGCTCTGTCCAGCTGCCTTACCGGAAACATATGCAACTATGCTCTGAAAAAAAACATTGATTGCTGCGTAAGCAAAATATTTTGCTGCAGCAGAAAAATGTTTAGTCCAGCAGCTTAAACGTATGCTTTACCAGCAACGCATTATCAGCAACGAATTTCGCTGTTAACACAGTATAGAAAAGCAAAGTCTGGTAACATTGAAACATTTTGCTGCAAACGCTCTTTTTTTGCGCGCGCGCCCTCACCCACTATACCTGCTGCAGAAGCTAAATGCCGTTGGATAGGCTATATAGGATGGGGCGGCCATGCGTGCGGGTGGGAATCACGTCGATAAGCTTTGAGCGGCCCGCCCTGCCGCGCCCTGCTGCACCAAGCGGCCGAGATAAAAATGTGTCCCGGAAGCTTGTTTACTAACTCTCCTACCAGCCGGGCGGCCTCTCTCCCCGCCCCGCGCCCCGCCCCCTCTCGGGCAAGTTCAATGTCTGGGTCATCCTGCGGGCTCCGCTAGGAGAGGAGGGCTCCCTGGACAGAGAGTGATGCTGCGCCGGGCGCGGCTCGGCAGGGCCCGGCACGCCAGACCCTACCTGCATTCGATGACGTGAACAACAAAACAACTCCCCCTTTCCCCCCTCTCCCGTGTTCGCCTCTCTGTCGCTCCGTCGACACACTCCAGCCAGTCTTTCTCTCTCTCTCTCTCTCTGACACACACATAGCCGGGCGGTGCATGCAGGGGCAGGAGTCAGCCCAGTCGACACCCCCCTGCCCCTGCCCGCCCCTGCCCGCCCCTGCCGGTCGCAGCCCAGCCGGCCTCAGTCTGACTCAAGCGGTGCAAGGCGAGGCACACAAGAGGCTGAGCTGAGCCCGTCCCGTCCAGTGCAGTGTTAGCAGTGTGGTCACGGCCTGAACGCCTCAGCAACTTTACCTACCTCCGCCATGGCAGCAGTCGGACTATCGCAGCACGGTGAGGCCCCCCCGTCACTCTAGGCCAGCTGGTCTGGAAAAGAAAATAACGGACACAATTATTGTAGTTGCATTGGCGCGCCCGTCTGGAAAGTTTAGTGTGTGACTCCCGTATCAGCTTTTGTCTACACGTCTCATCGTATCGCTGTCGTAACTCCACATGGGCCAATCCCGCCCACCCGTGTGTGTTGATGCGCGAGTGTCGAGGTCCATGACCCGCTCTGGGAACGAGGACAAGAAACTATATAGGGAAATTAATACGCTGTGATGAGAACGTCTGGTTTCCGTGAGTATACAAGCTTGCAGCGTGCAAGGTCTGCCATCTCTCCCCTGTCATCGCCGCAGACTGGCTTCCTTGACCGTCATTGCAGCCTGCGGCTGCGGTGCGGCGGGGAAGTCACGCGTCTGCGTCGTGAGACGGGGGAGGAGAGGGGTGGGGCAGGGGGGGGGGAACACCCGTAGTTCTTTTATTTACCCTATTTATGGAATGCGAGGTGCCGACTGGCGCGGCGATACAAAATTTGGGAGTAAAATCTAACTTTTTTGTAATAATAGTAAGAAATATGGAACGCCAACCGCTCGGTGTAAAGAAAGATGTGATTGTCGCGCAGAAAGAAAAGCACAACGAATGACGTGCCCTGCCGCACTTTTTCCAATCGCGATGTAGTATAGTGAGTGTCATCCAGCATAGGAGAGGGCGCAACAAAACAAACATAACGAAATGTCGTCGACGCGGCCGGCGTTTAAAGCCCAGGCCGGCAGCTTTTAAAGATTCCTGCGCCGCCACGCCGCGCCACCGCATGCGTGAGAGCGCAGCACGGCGCAGCACGGCGCAGCACGGCGCAGCCCGCGCGGGCTAGGGTCACCTGCTATGCAGCTCAAGGTGAGGGGGAAAGAAGAAGAAAAGACGCAGCGCGGGGCGGCCGGAGGAGAATGAGGGGGGGGGGGAATCTTGTTGCCTTGTACGATTGACGGCGTCCAGCAGAGGGGACCAGTGTGTAAAGCTCGGCGGCTGATCTCTATTACTGAATCACAAACGCCGAGACCCCTCGGTGAGTGCGCGTGGTCATTTCGGCTGGTAGGACCACCATAG